CACTCGAGTTAAGTGGATTTCTAACAGCGTCTTCTTGTTCGGCCTAGTGTGCCTCCTTACTGCTCTCCCACCCCTTCAAACTTCATCATCCAATTAAAACCCTGATCTTGCCGCAATGCCAACTGTCTGCGTCAGCAGAACTGACCAATCAGGAGTCGGAAAGGCCGATGGACGCGACAGACGACACCCCTCAGTCACCGGCGTGTCAGTTGCCGCGATGCTATTGGTTGATTAGACTTAGGCGATTTGAACTGCAGTCTGGCGTCGAAGGCAAACGCGACGTGTTTTTTGAGTCGAATAAAAGGTAGGTCGGAGAATTAAATTAGATTTTTGAAGTGAAAGAACTTCTTAAATAGTTTTGTTTTCATGTTTGGAAACTGGTAAGAGGACGCCTCAGTAGTAAATAACAGCAAACGGTCAATGCTCAACCTGGTTAAATCGCAAGCTTCATGAAAAGTTTGAGTAGTGGATGATTTCCAGAGGTCACTAATGTTAAACAAAGGGCTGCCCTCTCAAATATTTATTGAAGAAAGTTTGAATTTGGTGATATGTGTAGTTACATAATTCAGCCTATAGGAGCAAAAAATTCAACTTTTGGACACAATTCAACTCTACCACTCTCGTGCAGTTTAGAAGTAGCTCACTGCGGCGACCGAACCTAACTCGACAAACCTCTGGTTCATTCATAGGGCTGAGCTGACACATTTCTGGATATTGTTTCGTTGATAATGTTATACTATCCAATAATGATAGCTTCCAAAAGGATTCGCACGAACATCCTTATTCAACTATTTATAACCCGCCGAAAAAGATGCAGTTATCTTTTCAATTTTGCCCTTTACCATGTTCGATGAAAGTAATCCTCAGTTAAGATATCTTGACTTCCAAGGGAATTACTTATTGATGTCATGCACAGCGGTTACTTGAGCGTGAATTAGTTTGCAATGAGGTAGATTTTTGCAGTAGCTGACAAAACTAAACTGTCTACACGTGCTGTGTACGACCTGGTCTACGTGTATATCCTAAATCACTGTAAGAACTGCTTGGTACCCACATGCGTAAGAGTGCCATAAAGGTTACATTAGGAAGAGCTGTTGTAATCCGACTTTCTGACCTGAAAATGGCCGGATTTAACGGTCGGTTGGAAGCTTTCAAAACTACGACTGATAACACAGTCGCACCTGTTCCCGTTTGGTGTAGATCTCAGTGTGTGGGATCACCTTCCATCTCTTCACCACCTAGTTACTGATGGTGACAGTTACTGTGGAAGGGACCGGGTTTTTAATGTTTGGTTCTTATTCATATTCGACGTCTCGCTTCCCCAAAAAGGCGAAAAATCGGCACATCCTAAGTTATTTGTTGAGGAAAATGCCCTGACTATGCTAGATGGAGGACTTGGCGGACTATGCGGATCCAACTCATAATTTTTCATTGCTTTTCATCTTCTTTAAAAGTTTCTCACTGGAACAGTATTGATTGATAATGAGTTTAAATTCATTACTTATTATATCGGCCACCGGTTGGTGCCTGACAACTCCCCTCTCCGCACGATAATTTGTTTTGAACTTTTGTCGATCCAAACTGTGAACGTTTTTCCAGTATGATGGGAAATAGGAGTCTGAATAGCTTGGATGCCGGTACACAGCCCCACTTCTCCTCATTAGTGCCGCGAAGGCTTCAGGGACTCATTGGATAAAGGCGACTCAGGAAACCATCCTGTCATGTACTCGGGCTTTCAGCAGACAGTGTCAAAGTACTTTGTCAAATCAATTATCAATAGACTGTAGAAGCTTATTCGTGCTTTCTGCTAATTTTCTGGCAGTTTATGGACTACGAAGATCATATCGGTGGTTTCATGGTGTTTCTGGAATATGTGCCTGTTACAGATGCTTACACAGGCGGCTGAATTTTTTCGGTGAGTAGTTAGTACAGCGTTAGCGATCCTTCTTGAGATTGCACGTGTTGATTAATTCCACGCGTTTGAGAGGTTTGAGTTTGTATGCACACCCCCAGACACAGTGTCATAAGCCACTATCT